AATAATCTATTTGGATAGTAACAGTAGCATGACAGGTTGATTTACAGTTTTAGGATACACTTCCCGCCCTGATGTGCTCCCATCTAAATACACAATAAACAGAGCAAAATTAGGACAAGAGATGCAACCAAAGTTAGGTAGTAAATAACAGCTGAAATGTTTTTACTATTACAAAGTTTTCAAGAATTATGAGGAAGCTTTAAAAATTGCCTTCAGAGCATTTACAGAACGTCAGAGTCAAATGCTCTTGTACTGTATGTAGCCATAATAATAATATATAAAAATATTAATAGAAATCATTCATAATGATAATGTAGTAAGTAGTATACACAGCAACATAAACAATTAGTGAAAAGACAGAAAAGGGGAAGAGAAGGAACTATACCATGACTACAGTCTGCAAACATGAACCACAGTGAATTATCTAGGGCAGTAACAGTATAATGAGGCATAATAGTATGAAATCAGGAAAAACAAAAAGTCACAATGAAAATCAGGAAAATACAGTTCGTTGCTGGAAGAGTTCGTATTTATTTATTTATTTTTTTAGGGATATAGAGAAAGAGTCACTACTTGACTTAAAAGCTAGACTAGACAATATACTGGAAAAGAGATTACTGGAAAGAAGCCACCTTTCTACAGGTAATGATGAGACCCAACGTACCAAAACACTTGCTTAGATTGGTCTGCTTGTCAATGAAAACCTTGGCAGAGACGACATTTCCAAATGGCATGAACATCTGCAGCAGATCCTGATCCCCAAACTCCTGGGGGAGATGGTAGATAAACAGATTGGCTCCCTCTGGACCTTCAAACAACAAGTAGGAATATAAATTCAGAAAGAGCATGGATAACATAGGCCCACTTCACAAAAAAAAGGTGAAAGAGCCATTCAAGCCAAATTTTCTAGATAAAACAATGAAACTGTTGTTTGCACTTCTGCAGAGTACTTGATTCCAGAATAAATCAGGATGACCCTTTGCTGGGATTGATCATTCAAATAATTCTAGCTCTTTCTCACCATTTTTGCTTGTAATTTCCACATTGTGCCAAAACTGGTTCGCAGATTTTTGCTGCAATGAAAGCTGAACAATAAATTTGAGCCAAGACGCTGACTAAAACAAAAACGGCTATGCAAAGCTTGTGGCCCAAAGCAGCTAAGTAAATCTCAATACAAAATACAAGCAATCACATTACTTGTAATCTGACAGATTCTTTCCTAAGCATCATCCTACATTCTGCTGAAAACTTACTCCTACATTCTTCATCACTTTACACTGCGTGTTAAATTGATTCTGAATCTGAAGAGTGAACAGATCAGCATTAAGTGGGAAGAGGTGAGGGACCAAGAAAACAAAATTAACAAAACCAAAACTGATTCTCTGACAGTGAGATGTATCTATCAGACTCATACTCCCCTGTCCTTTGAGAAAATGGAGGAGTATGATTACTAAGCATTTAAGACTAGACAAACCCTGGGACAAACCTCCTGTATAAAAACTACTTTTGGACAGCCCTTAACAGAGACACCTCTCAGGTTTTCCTTCTTTATCTTCAGTAACTTTAGGATTCTAAGAAATGCTGCCAAATAAAAGCTCTGCAGATAAGGTAGCTGCAAGGGCTGAGCTTGCCCTTTTGAAAACCCCTCTCAAGTTGTTTCTACAACTTTCTGCTTACCTTCTTTTTGACTTCCTGCTGCACCAATACTCTGCTGTGTTAAGAGACTCTGATTATAGAGTGTGGGCAATGCAGCAGCAGCATATTGCTGGATTCCAGAATAAGCCTGCGTGAGGGCTTCCATTGTGCTACCTGTCCCATTTGAGAGACCACCACTGCCAAGTCCTCCATTTAAGGCTGCCATTCCTGTATAAGAAAGAGGAAATAAAGATGACTGAGTACTTCCACCGAACCAGATCAATTACCTTTCAAATACTCTGCACTATTACAAAAAGGCAGGGAGCAGAAAAACACCCCCGCAGAACTAGCACAGCCTGAGGAATGATAATCAGCTATTCCCCCATCCCACAATACACAGCTTACCTGCTAAAGAGCTAACGTTGAGGCCTGCTGTAGCCCCTGCCAGCGTCTGCAATGCTCCAAGAGAAGCCATCGGATTAACAGAGGAGCTGCTACTGGAGCTAGGTGAGGAACCTGCTATTAAAATAAGATAATTAAACTTCAAGCAATATTTTTTGGTCCTGAGAATTCAACTTCTTCATTAAGTTATTTCTGTAGAAAAGGCTAGTAAGGAACAGATCAAGGCACCACAGTATACTTTATGTCAAAAAAAAAAAAATCCCAAACCCACACAACTTGATTGATCATACTGCTTCTATCTTCTAATCCTTTCCTACATTTTTGAAAAATTCCTACTTCATCATAATGTCTACTCTTTGTAGCAATAATAATTTCATTAAGTGCAAGACACCTAAGATTCAGACAATATACGAATGTTAGCTAAACTTTGTACCTCAACGTAAGGTGACCAGCAGCACTGCCTGAAAATGAGTAAAGTGAGTAAGAATTGCTACATACTAACATCTATCCTTGAAACATCACACAAAGTGAAAAAGACCTGAAACACAGATACTCGGGTCACTAAAGAAAGCTCCAGTCAAACTGAACATACGGTTTTCCCGTACTGCCAGAACAGGAACAGCAGATGCCCAGATTATTCTGACACGTGAAATAATTTTCCATTAAAAATCCCGCTGCAGCAGCTGGGGCTAGGGCCTATAAGAGTCTTGGAATGTACATCCAAAATACCTAGTCTATCCTCTGTTCACTGTGCCACTAACATCTTCAACCATGTTTACTCAGTAAGAGAAGTCTACAGATACAGTACCTAGCAGACTAACAGCTTACATGGCCTGCCAAATTCTACAACAGGTAGAGTTAGTTCTACAGACACAGCCATCAAAACGATGAGAAAAAAGTTTGCCAAGCTGGTACATCAAAAGAAACAGAAGTTCAAATTTAGGTCATCTACACAGATTATGGACATGATAAAATAAGAAAAGAATAGTATTTTTATGATTATATAGCAGTAGTTTTCCTAACAGGTTTGTGGAGTACTTAGAAATCTGAAGAAGGTAAATAATAAAAGCTATGCATATTGCTATTAACCCACAAGTTTACATTTACTGCACAAGATGCACTGGAAAATATTTATGGCTTCTACAAATTAAAAGATACTGAAGACTGGTGCTGCAGAGGCATCTTGTAGCCTGCTTTCAAGAGGAATTTATCTGTCTGACCAAGTGACCACTTCATATATGTCGCACAAAGTCTCTGCTGGAGTGGAATACGGTAACTATTTAAATGGAATACAGCAAACTTGCCTAACAAGCCCCAGCAAAAGCTGTACCTAAAAAAAGTAGTTGTACCTAACAAAAGCTGCATGAGAACCCAGGGAGCTGCACTTCATATCACTGTTTAGTTTTTGCCCTGATAGAGGAAATGACAAACCTCCTCCAGGAAAGTTCTAGACAAACTCTCTTAACAAGTCAGAAATTGAAAGACAATGTCCCAGACTATATATTAAGATGCTTACTCTGAAGAAAAGGAGATCATTCCCGTCTTACTATCAGTAGCATATTAAATGTTGGAAAAATACAGAGAACAAGTTACAGTATAACCCTCAAGTTGGTACAAAAAAATAGCACAGCTGGCTGAATAAAAGCCACTGTTCAGAAATGATACAGCTGCTTCGATTTTAAAATATCACTTGTTTCTGCAACACTTCATTGCTAATCTGCATAATTCAAAAAGACACTACATTTGACAGATGAGAACACCATTTAAAAAAAACCCCCACAACAAAGTAGTAGCGGTTTGGGAAAAAAAGAATGAAGCCAAGGCTAGAGAGCAAAGTAAAAGAGAGAACAGATGCCTTCCCTACTTTGAAAAGGTTATGATTTTAAATAAATTCATTTAAACCACTACAAAAAGCTGAACACACAGTTATTTTAGTTTAGCTGACTTTATCAGAAATCTCTTTAAGCAAAACAAGAAATGCTCTATTACTGAAAACACCAAAAAAATTTAACATTGTTTGGTTTATTTTCTTTATGATACGTATATAGGAATTGCTGTACTGAGTCAGCACCCCATTTCTGATGATGACTAGAGGCAGATAAATAACAGTAGAGCAGAAATACAGGGCAATTACAAAGGAATAGGTATAGTCTATATACCAATGCAGCAATTTGCAAATCTAGGATTTTTTCAGCCAAGGGCAATGTCTTTGTATTAAAGTTATGATTTTCATTCATTAACACCAAATTGTTTGACTCCTACTATGTTCTAAGGCACGAGTTCTGCAACTTAATTGTGCATTATGCAAAGAAATAACTTTTTATTTTTGAACTGTCAGCTGGAAACTTCACTTGATATCCTGTAATTTTTGTCTTGAAATAGCTAATGACTGGTCTTTCCCT